CGCACAACAAATATTAAAACTGTCAATCGATCAACCTCTAACTAAATACTGGAAAAGCGATATAGAAAATGTGGTATTCCTGATCGGAACTTAAAACGACACCGTACTTATAATTCAAGCTCACCCGGCCCACTTAGGCGGCTGGTGCTCAATAATACGCCAATAATCTGGAGGGTATTGCGTATTTTCGGCACGTCCCTATATTACTGAACGGTATTTACAATATACGTGCTTGTGCCAGTCTATCAGAACTATACTGTGACGTGCCTGCATTAATGTAATGTTTATTATTCAAATCTCCTCTCAGTTCTCTTCAAGATATGTATTTAACCAGTTTTTATTACACACTGGGCACTTAACCGCATAACTTTTCCGGAAGCTTACTCTCTCTACGAGTCCCGGTCGTGGCTGGAAACTAGACGAACAAATCCTTCTAAAACGGCCTCAGTGTTTAATTTAATATTATGTACGTTTTATATGGTTGTCATCACGTTTGTCAAGGAGGCTCGGAGGTTAAGTCGTCCGCTTCTCACACATAAGGGTGCAGGTTCGTAACCTGGCAAGTACTAATGTGACTTTTTCTAAATTGTATATACTTTCTCAGATTATTTAGACACCACTGACATACGGTGAAGGAAAATATTGTGAGGAAACCTGGACCTGTAATTTCTAGTTATTAGTTTGAATTTTCCAAATCGCCAATCTGCATCGAGCAAAAAAAGGTAATTAATGCTCAAATGCTTCTCAGTGTGAGCCTTTGCTCAGCAGTGGGCACGTATAAGCTGATGATTATGATGATGATGATGATGATGATGATGACGATGATACTTTTTGTGCAATTACTATGTCCACGTTTCTTTTCAACTTCGGTTGTCAGAGTTACGATAAAAACTTTAACATCTTCATACAAAACAGTTATTAGATAGTATATCTTAATCCAACAGTCATAGAGATCATATTATCGAGTGAAACATAAATAAGAAAAACTGCTTATATCGTTGGTATTTGGTGATCGAGTGTGAGTGCGATTGTACTGCTGATCTTATCATTTTATAGCCAGTTACATTGAGTCATCGCTGATTTGTGGGTGCCAACGTAATTATTGAAAACGTTTATAAAAGTCAAATGATATGATTTCGTACTGTCTGTTTGTCTGTGCTATCATTTTGTTTGTGATAACCTGGACATTAAGTATTTTATGTTAGCCCTTAAAGAACGTTCGTGTGAATAAAATACGTGTCTCTACAAATATTATGCATCCCAAACTCTTGGTAAACAACAAAAATTATGGCATTTAGTCAATTTTATACACAAATGTGTGTTCAAAAGATTAAATAAGTATTTTTTTTATAATGGGTTTCTGTAACTTGGCATTCTGTGTCAACACAATAAGTCATTCAGATGAGGTATCTTGATTCTTGTCTTGGCAGCCGAAGGAATTTCTATGAATCCCTTTCATCTGGTATCACCAAATCTCAAGTTAAGTGTTGGGACATTATTACGTTTCGTTTCGAGTGTGTGATACTACCTGTGCCCTCAAGTGTTGATGTCAGTTCATTAAATAAATAAATTAACATATTATTTTATATAGGTACACAATAATATTGAGTTTTTAGATCTTTAAAAATGGTTCACCCAAAAGTCGGACTGTTAGATAATGCCTACGACATTAAGTCCGCCTATGTACAAAGAGTTGTGTGCATAAGGCTTAATAAATAAATAAAAAATAAAAAAATAATTACGTTTAAACCTAACCTCAAAAAACATTGGCCCAATCTATCGACCCAAAAACATGAACTTGAACAAAAAATTGCCCTACATACGGGTAACGCAGGGGTCAGACGCTAGTGGGAGATATTTTTATATTCTGCGCGCAACGCCAAGGGGCGAGAGTGGTATCGACAGCCGTCTTTTTGCCCTGAACGAGATTAATTAAGCTACGGACGTCCGGCTTGATTAATGTGCCCCGTTAAAAATGTTTCCAAACTGAAATCAATTTAGTCTTAAAAACATCGTTGGTGAGTTGGACACGTTACAGGTACTCCATTAAATATGTAAACTAATTCCCTGTTATGACCAATATTTCTTACATGCATATCCAAAACGAGAAAGGACATAGGATAGTTTTCAAACCAAAAATTTGCAGGAAGTCACTGTTCCACGCGAACAAAGTCGCGGGCAAAAGCTAGTTAATTTATAGTTTCTGGTCGCCTATTTAACAATACTCCCCGTAGCCTTTTTCATGGGTCACAGACGGGACAGTAAGAGGCACCGCGACCTTGGCCCAGGGCAGGAGAAGGAACCGGCGGTTTTTAGTCAGCAAGAGTCTGACACTACCTCCTCGGAGAAGTCATTTGATAAACCTGCCCTCACAAAAAAAGCCTTTTTCCTGGGTTAGGAGGCAAACGACTAAATGGACCACATAATGGTAAGTGATCATCGCCGCCCATAGACTCCTGTAGTACTAGAGGAGCCACAAGTGCGTTTCGCGCACTCTCCTTTCTTGAAGGTCATTACGCTAAAAAATTAAGGATTTAAACCTAAATTTCGCAACAATCAATCTTCCTCAGACCAGAAGATAAGCAACGAATGTCCGAAGTTTTTTTACAATTATCACGGGTATAAAAAGGATACTGTCATAGGGATTAACTTCATTACCGCTTTATCTTAATACATACATGATGGATGACATGTATACATATAATCATATATGTATATGCTCTTTTGACTGTTGCATTATTGCAATTTGCTTATTAACTAAGTTATCTATAAACTTCCTTTCTTCCAGGCTTCAATAAAAACGATAACAATAAAAAATACTGTTCAACTTAATTGTTCAAAATTCATTTGCAACGTTTTATTTAAATAAGGAACGATAAATAAAAATCTGTAACCATCAATAATAACATAACTTCTTATATTGATGCTGTAAACATGGCGCGGTGGCTGGCAACTGACTGCCGCGCAAAGTGTCGCGGGTTCGATTCCAGATAGAAACAACACTAAATAATTTCCTGAAACTGACTATTTGCGTGATCACTTGCATGAACCTGCAATATCTTTTCATTCAGTTTTATTCGTTAATTACCTATATATACCTAGAATTATTTCGCTAGCTATTATATTAATACTGAATATTTTTGAAACAAATATAACCCACCCCATATACATATTTGGATATTACTTTTTGCAGCGGGTTCGCTTGCAGGACTGGGGTAAAAAGCAACATATAGATGTGTTATAGAGACTTTAATTGTTATCTGTGCCAAATTTCATTTAAATCCATTCAGTGGTTTTTCCCTAAAAGAGTAATAAACATCTATCCATACTTACAAACTTTTGTGGTATTAATTAATAATACATATAATTGGGATGAAACACATGCATACATATATTATAAAATAAAATAAGTAGATGGAGAAGGTCAAAGAGGTCACACCTAAAGGTAATGTTTACCTTCGCTCGTACCTTTCAGTCTCCGTTTTATTAGAAAATGAAACGCACCTGCGGATATCCATATGTCTTTTTAAAGGACGATAATAGTGCCCAGTCATTCAAATCTATAGAATCACCAATACTATTTTATATTATTTTTTTAATAATATAGATTGTTTGTTAGTATTATGAGCATCATAATTCATCAAACCCCGAGCGAAAGCCGGCGTTCGCGCACCTCTTGTTCTTCTATGGTGTCTCAAATTGCCACGGTTGAAAGGTTAATATAAATTCTATTCAACAATTATTGATGTGGCAACACTAAAATATATTATTTAACTTACACTAAATATAAATATAATAACAACAAATTATAATAATATTAACTAAATATAATAATAACATAGTTTTTTTTAGAAATTAATGAAACATGGTTTTAAATAGGTAAAAGGGGATTATAAAAGTTGATCATGCAGAGGGAGAGGATTGACCTTCTTGCCTCATTCACATCCCAAATTTGGTTGTTTCACGCCGGTTTTTGTGAAGCGTAGAATCACTCTGCTCATTCCGATCCGGCTTATTCGTGCATGACCTTAACACACTTAAAGATCATATGTATAGCGTTTAATATTTGCTAGCTTATTGCCTTGCCATTTGGTGGGTCAAAAAGGAGTCGTGTTTTATTACAGACAAAAATCTCTTTGCCAAATTTTATTAAGAAGCATACAAACACCCTCACGAAGTTTATGATAGGATAACGAACGACAATTTGAACACAGCACACAGAATGTGTCAGTTATCAACGCAACAAATAACTAATGAGGCATATCATTATTATATCAGCGAGCCACGCGCCGATAGACGACCTTAAATTAATAATTGTTCGCGTGTAATAAATATAAGCAATCTTGTTGACATTATAAACATAAAATTTGTACTGATGTGTCTAGAATATAAATAGTTCACTTTTTATACTAGTACCTAATGCGGATCGAGCCACGTCCAGATGCTTATGAACCCACGCGTACAGACATAGGATCACTCTAATTTTCGATGAGACGATGCCTAAAATTCATTTACTAACTCATTTTTTTTTAAATGGCAATCATACGAATTTAAGTCCAGAAACCTCTTTTATAACACGGCCAATATGTCTCACATTATAAGCCTATAAATGCCCACTGCTGAGCAAAGGCCTCTTCTAACACAGAGAAGATTTGAGCATTCAATCACCACGCTTGCTCAAGGCGGATTAGCGATTTCAAACGTATAACTAGAAATAATAAGTCCAGGTTTCCTCACGGTGTTTTCCTTCACCATACGCCAGCGGTGTCATAACTCGGATCAAGTCACATTGGTACTTGCCAATTTTCGAACCCGCACCACCCCAACCTCTAGGCCACCACGACACAATATGCCTTTATCACGAAGAATGAGATTTTTGGGGTCATGAATTCCCACAAACATCCCTAGTACTACCTCCTATAGTGCCACAAACTGATTAGAAAAACATTGTTTTTCAAAGCCTGATATAATCTGACACTGATATTAACACGATAGGAGATCTTAAGACCACATACTTAGGCTGTATCTGTGCGATAATAGAAAAAAATAATTACAAATTGTCCGGCGTGAGCGCAGATATCGAATATTTAAATTGTTGATAATTTTACAGGTGAGCGCCAGTCGACCTGGGTGTATGTCACGATGAAGTCGTTGCATGTGGCTCTCATTGTTGTGATCTCTATCGCCTTATTGGGTGCCATTGGAGGTAAATATTTTACTAACAGAACTTATAAGTGCTTATACATTAGTGTCTTTCCCAACTTGAAATTAAAAGGTTGTCTTCTGTTATGCATGCAGGCGGTAATGTGACAGTTTTTGCCAAACTTTACGCAAATTGTTTGGTTTCATATCCCCATTTTGATAACATTCAAGTTTATAGCGAAATCATAAAAGTTATCGTACTTTATAGTGGTACTCTGTATAGATTCAATGGACCTACTTATTTCTTTAAACAACTTATTAGTGCTGCATTTGTGAAGCTTCTTTCAATTAGTGAGTAGGTAATTGGTGTTGCGCTTTTATACTTATGCAACCGAACTCTTAGTAAAGTGGTGACTTGCTTGTTTACAGTTCTTGAATTCTTTGAGAAGGACTTATTTTTCTTTCTTAAAGGCCAATTAGTTCTGCAGTCTCTATTTAAGGTTAAAATGAAAATGTCGGGTTTTGTCTTCAAATACTAATTCTAGAACACCTTATGGCCTCTGTCTGGTCTTGTTTCCAAAGAAATGTTTAAATGTGTTCCAGGTCTTATAGCTTGGGGAGTGATAGCTACTCAAAAATGTTCATCGGACAGTTCTCCTCAGTTGAGGAACATGGAGTGGTGGGAGCACTGCACCTTGTACCAGATCTATCCAAGGTCTTTCAAGGACAGTGATGCAGATGGCATTGGAGATTTGGAAGGTAAACATAAACTCTATTAAAGAAAGAATACATTTAAAAAATCAACTCTTTAAATCCCGTAATAAAGCAGACAGGAAGGCCAAAATTCTCTGTGATTACACCAATTTATCTCTAAATTGTTTAAACAAAAATGTAATATAAAAACGTGTCAATAAAGTTGCTTTTTCGATGTTTAGTCCAAAACAATCATGAAAATCATTATCGTTTTTGTTGTAATAATCACTGAATAACTGCAATTGTTGGCATTAAAGCGGCATTAGTGATTGGCGAAACATGACTGATGATAACAGATCTGACGGTGACGTGGACTGGTCCTTGTTGACTGATAATTTAGACAAATATGTCGAACAATACAAACTAATATTTATTTCGGGATCAATTATTTTTCTAAAAAGTGTTGTGATTGGAGCCAGTTTTAAAGCAAATAATGCCTCCGCTCTTCCAAAACTTAACAATATACCAGTCATTTTTTGTTTTTTTTTTGGTTCTTACTATTTATACTTCATCATTAGAAATTTATGTGTGAGTTGTCTGTGTCTGCGGAGTTGTGTAATAGATGGTTAATTTTATTTTAGATATTACAACAATGGTTCCCTATTGTCATTCTTATCGATGAGGTAAACAAACCGAGTCTACACCGATTCGACAATCCTCATTCTGTACACAGTATTTCATGATCATTGCAAAAATAAATCTGGCGCCTCATAAAGACACTATGATGTTCTTTTCAGGTATAATGCAAGAACTGGAACACTTCAGAGATGCTGGAGTGGACGCTATTTGGATGTCTCCCATCTTCAAGTCTCCTATGGTAGACTTCGGATATGACATCAGCAACTTCTATGAAATCCACGAGGAGTATGGAACCATGGAACAGTTTGACCAGCTACTTAAGAGGGCTCATGAGCTTGGTAAGTATGTTGTGATATCAGTGAGAAGCAAACATGATGCTGATTATCCTTTTTCTCCTCTGTCCCCAATCCCTTCTTTTGTCAGGGGAAAATCATCAAATGACTTCTCCCGCCCAGGGTAAGGCGAAAGAGAGTGTCAGTCTTACTGACTAAAAAATCCACCGTTCCTTCTCCTGCTCTGGGCCGAGGCCGCGGTGACTCATTGCACTTAACGCGCAACCCCGGCTCTTTCCCCAAATTATCCCTAAATTATTAATACCCCTTATCTCCAAAGGGCCGGCAACGCACTTGCAACGCACCTGAGTTGCGACGCGACGCTGATTACTTACCATCAGGTAGCCCTGATTTTTGCCGTGGCAAAAATATGGCTATCTGAAATACATGATCATTGTCTATATTGAGCACTCTGAAAAATCCAAAGTATCCCAAAAACCATACCCAAATATATTCCCAACTAAAAACATCATTCTGGTGACCACCATACATATATATATTATTTGGCAAGATTATTTAAATTCGCAATTATGATTAATTTTGCGTCATTGGCGGCCAGTACGTGTGGCCATAGCACGCTTATCAGAAATTAATATATTCACGAAATATTAATATCATAATAATACATTCCGATGCTTAGTGTAGATAAACGTATCTAACAAGCAAATTAGTGATTTTGTACGCAGTTATGGTGATAACAATTATATACATACCTACCTACCATTCAAACATTCACTTGTATAATTATTAGTTAGTTTTTATAAATAACAAATAGTACAATCATTACGAAGTTGAAAACCCGAGTTAAGAAAAGCAGAGCATTTTTTAATTTACAACTTTAATTCAAATCGAATAAGGTTAATGTTGCTTAGGCAGGAGCACACACATGAGTGCAAAATAAAAGAAAATTATTTGTCTACTTACAAAAATCAAACCTTTATCGCATTATCGATGTTACACCGATTTAATAACGGGACTGAACCAAATATAAACAAGTCACTGAAAGATCAATCCTGAAGATATAGACTATATCGATGCGTTGATCCATCGCTATCAATCAAAAACTAATAATCATTGTTGATTATGATAATGAGGAATAATTTTATGTGTTGACTTAGTTTAATTAAAAACAATTAGGTCCTTTTATACAATATTTTACTTTCCAAAAAGTTTAATAAGGACTTGATTTTGAGTCTTTTTTTTTCAATAGTGTACTTCTATTAAGGTTCACTACGTATTTTTTGAGATTCATTACTATGACAAACAGATTTCTCTCTGAATTAACTTAAAATCGCGGGTTACTTACGTGTATAATATTGAGAAAAGTTCTACTGGTTTCGAACCATAGAGGGGTAACTAGGCTGCGCGACACCTCCGCGTCCGCGCATTTTGCTCATGAGGAAGAACCCCTCTGTAGTTCGAAACTAGTAGAGCTTTTCTCAATTTACACACGTAAGTAACCCGCGATTTTAAGTTAATTTAGTATGTCTCACGATAGTTATTATAAAGATCTCTCTCTCAGATTTTGATTGTGTATATATTTTTGTGTACAGGAATAAAATTGCTATTGGACTTCGTGCCGAACCACGCCAGCAATGAATCCAAATACTTCATTGAGTCCGAAGCGCGAAATCCAAAATACGAGGACTTCTTCATCTGGGATGACGGCATTGTGAACCCTGATGATCCAAATGGCAGACCACTCCCCCCTTCAAATTGGGTAAGATTTTCAGAAAATTCTAGAATGATTTCATTAGTTCAACAAATCACGTAGGACTAATACAACTATAATGTTATAAATGCGAAAGTAACTCTGTCTGTCTTTACTTCACGCCTAAACTACGAAACCGAGTGCTGTGAAATTTGGTACAAACATAGTTTGGAACTCTAAAAAGAACATAGGATAGTTTTTATACCAAAAAACCTGCAGAAAGTCACTTTTTTTATTTAATCGATCGGCAAACGAGCAGACGGATTACCTGATGGTAAGCAATCAGCGCCGCCCATGGACATCCGCAACTGAGAAGTTACGAGTGCGTTGTCGACCTTTTAGGGATTAGGGATTGAGGAGGGATTGGGGGAGGAGAAGGATTGGGCTTCCGGTAACCTCACTCACACGGCGAAACACAACGCTGTAGTTGTTTCACGCCGGTTTTCTGTGAGGCCGTGGTATCACTCCGGTCGAGCCGACTTATTCGTGCCGAGCATGGCTCTCCCACACTTAAATCACTATTCCACGCGAACGGAGTCGCGGGCAAAAGCTAGTGAATTATAAATTCAACGAATTGAGACCCTTTTATTGCTATCAGTTAATAACAGTTAGAATTATGTAGTTGTTTAAAATATCTATACTTGAATGCAATATTTTATCGACATTCGACCAGCACGAACTAGGTAGCAATTCGGCCGAGTCGTTGAGTTGGCTAAAATTAGGGGCCGTCCGATTGCACCGCAATGTAACTGCAGTTCAAAACTGGCGTTCATTATTTACTGGTCGTTAAGCAAACTGTTTTAGAATCAGCTATATTTTCATTAAATGTTATTTGTGGTACCACAGTTAACATAAATAGCCAATGAATTAACATTTACCGTTCACAACAGCTAAATTCGTTTAGTAAACGATGTCAAAAATGAAATAACTTCAACAGTCAACCTTTAGCGAGTAAAAATGTCGATAACTTCACCCAACTCATTATTTCACTGAAAATATTGCTTTAAATATGAAAAAAGATACCTATAAACATCGCCGGTTTATAACTTTTATCAAAACTTTTATTCTTTTTGAATGCGTAATAAGATTTTTCCATTAACATTATATTTGCCTAAATAATTTCTGAAATTGAACTCTAGATGCTACCATGATGATGAGATAGGTGATCGCTTTGATATCTGGTCTTCTCACATTAGCAGTGACGGTATCCACCCTGATTTTAATCAATCATCATGACCTCGGTCAAAGGTCAAGCAGAATATTAGTAATAAACGAGCAGACGGATTACCTGATGGTAAGCAATCAGCGCCGCCCATTGACACTCGCAACGGAGGAGTTACGAGTGCGTTGCCCACCTTTTAGGGATTAGGGATTTGGAGATTTAGGGATTTAGGAGGGATTGGGGGAGGGGAAGGATTGGGCCTCCGGTAACCTCACTCACACGGCGAAACACAACGCTGTGGTTATTTCACGCCGGTTTTCTGTGAGGCCGTGGTATCACTCCGGCCGAGCCGACCCATTCGTGCCGAAGCTTGGCTCTCCCACACTTAAAATGTAACAAAACTGTTTCCTAGGTGAGTCAATTCGGCGGATCAGCGTGGGAATGGAGCACCAAGAGACAGCAGTACTACCTTCATCAGTTCGCGGTTGAGCAAGCAGACTTCAACTTCCGAAACCCCGAAGTGAAACAAGAAATGTTTAGCATTATGAAGTTCTGGCTGGACAAAGGCGTCGATGGCTTCAGAGTTGACGCGCTGCCATATCTTATCGAAGCAGATCCAGCCGACCATGGTGGAAAATACCCTGATGATCCACTAAGTGGATTGGCTGAGTTCGAATCCCATCAGCTTGGGTACACAATTCCGCTATACACCAAAGACTTAATCGAATTGTATGACGTCGTGTATGAATGGAGAGAGTTTATCGATGAATACAATAAGCAGCACGGAGGAGACACCAGGTCAGTAGACCTTTAATTAATCTTCGAAATAGGAAAGATCTCTTTAAATAAAGTAACTAGCTATTTCCAATGGTTCATTCTTTAAGTAATGGAATTCTTATAATTTTAATCCGTCGTAAGTATCCAACGAATCCTATAAGAAGGCCCAAAATTATTATACTTCAGTTAACAACAAATTGGAGATTGAAAACTTGGAAACTTCAATAAAATTTAAACTTGAATACTTTGTGATTTTCGTCTTTCTTTAATACCGTTATAAAGGTATTTAGGGAAGTATGCCATAGGTTGGTAAGTCTTAGAAATTGTTTTGTTTGAGATCTCTGAAAAAATTTAACGAAAATTTTCTTTTTCTAGGGTTCTATTCTCGGAAGGATATGCAAACATAACAATGACCATGTTGTACTACGGGAATGAGAAAGGAAAGATAGGTGCTCACTTCCCGTTCAATTTCGACTTCATCACCGACGTTTCTGCCAAGTCTAATGCGAGAGACTTTGTCTACACTATACTGAAATGGCTCACTTACATGCCCCATGGAGCAGTAGCTAACTGGCAGGTAAATCATCTAGTGGTCAGAAAATATTAGCTGTGCAACGTGTGCAAAATTAATCATAGTACAGGAGACATAAACAACCTATTACAAATATTTGGTGTAATAATGTAAACGTTTTATTTCCAGTTTGGCAACCACGACAACAACAGAATGCCAACGCGGTTCCGCCACGACATGGTGGACGGTCTTAACTCTCTGAACATGATGCTACCTGGCACCTCAGTCACCTACCAGGGTGAAGAGATCGGCATGAGAGACGGCTACGTCTCCTGGGAAGACACAGTGGATGTGGAGGCATGTAACCGAGGGGACCCTGACACCTACCACCTGTACTCCCGCGACCCTGCCAGAACCCCATACCATTGGAACGATTCTCCAAATGCTGGTTTCTCCACCAACTCCTCAACGTGGCTTCCAATTGCTGAGGATTATACAGAAATTAATCTGGCCAAACAGAAGGCAGATGCGAGGAGTCATTACAAGGTGAAAAAAAGGGAAAAATAACAGCTTAACTCTTCAATATTAATTAATGTCGTTTTCATAATATGCTAATGTTATATTTTTATAGGTGTACCAAGCGTTGACAAACTTAAGAAAGGAGAAGACTCTTTCCCACGGCGAGTACGATATCAGGGCGCTGTCAGACAGCTCGTTCTACCTGGTCCGGTACCTGAGGACATACGACACGCTGGTGTTGCTGTTCAATGTGGGCACCGCTGCCGACACCCTTGTGTTGGACAGGGTCCCGTACCTCAGGAGACCAGCTACCGTGTACATCTCTAGCATACATTCCACCAGGGTCGCTGGGTAAGAATTTTATTTTAGACTGCTATAAGGACTGATCCTCGCACGGCCACTTCACAAATACCTATTTCTTTTCTAACTGAATTTTGTTCTTCAAAGAAGCTTAGCACGAAGGAGAAAAACACATCCAATACATGAAATCTACACACGTAGATACTAGAAAAATCCTGTTAATCCATACAATAATTCATATAATTGTTTACTTTTATTTAATGAAGAACAATAAAACTGTTCTAAAAAGTCAATCTTTATGTGGCATGATCTGTAGTTTTGTTTTTTTTATTTATTTTCAGAACTGTCATTGATGAAAACGAGCTGGTCCTGGCTGCTGGAGAAGCTTTGATACTGAGGTCACCATCTGCTTAAGTTATTTGTATGATGTAATAATATATTGTTAAGCATACTGATGTACATAAAGACTATTTTTGTTTATAAGTGTTACATGTAAATTAAGTTATTTAAATATATTAATTTGAATCAATGTTTGTTTTTATTCCCATTTAGTTCAGTATTTTTGTGTTGAACCTCAGTATTGTAACGAAAGAGCGACGTAAGTAGTGGATTAATGTAATTTGCGATTCATCTGCAGAAGCTACAGATTATTTTAAACCGTAGTAGTACCTTTTTCTATTAGGATAGTATAAAGATAATAAGATATTAAAAATAAATTTTGTTTATCAATATAAAATAGGTTCCTGGCCTAATTAATAAGTTCGATCGATTCACATTCTCAAGAAGTAAATCAAATCCTCTCCTGATATCTCTCCTATTACCAATTTCTTGGTTTTTTTTCGCAAACTAAGATTGTAGAAGAGAAGAGAGAATTTAGTGTAATGCTCATAAAATAGTATTTACACAGTAAGGATTGTCAGCAGCTTGTTATAAAACTTTTGAAAATTTAAGGTCAGGTTTTCTTTTCATTTAGGTTAAGGTCTAAGGATATTTATTTTGAGGATTGGCTATTTCAAATTTTTAATAAGAAATTATAAGTCCAGGTTTCCTATGGATGTTTTCCTCCACTGTATGTTAGTGGTATCTAAACAAATATAAGTGGTATAATTTCTAAATAATAATCTAAAAATATCGGAAAAAGTCACATTGGTACTTGCAAGGTTTTGATCCTTGAACTCATGCGTGAGACGGAGGCGCCTTAACCTATGGGTCACCACGCCTTCACGATGGAAAGTTTCACCATAAGAATACTTTATTTGCGAAATAACTTATATCTCAAATACAAGAATAACTTTTAACCTCTGATAAAATGACCGGATTATTAGGTGAAAATTCATAATATTGATAAGTTAAAACAGTTTAAAAATAATTAATTCCATCTAGAATTATGAATTTAGATAACGTAGGTAGGTAATTGTTGTTGATAACGAAAATGTATGAGGTTTTAATTACAGTAAATAGCTTATCAAAAGTGCACTTACAATTTTGCAACAAAAAATTGGCTAGTAATATCTTTATTGCAGATGAATTGAATTTTATAGAGGAGAAAAATCATGAAATGGCTTCTCTTCTCGGATGGGGGAGAGGGAGTGTCAGACTCTTATTTACAAAAGTCAACCTGTTTCTTTACTGGCTTCAGCCCGGGGCTGCTGCGGTTCGTGATTACGCTTGACCGAAACACCGGCTGAAAATCAGCCCTATTGGGCCTTATCTGTGGTGGTCTGTTGGCTTTGTGAGGAGTGCGAGATACGCGACGCTAAATACTATTATTGATTTGATATCTAATGGTATAGTTTTGGTCGGGCGGCTAAAGCTAAAAGCTACCCCTGATCATCATCAGAAAATCAGCGCTTACGATGGTGCAGCCAATAAGCCTAATATGCCATTCAGTTAACAGTAACAAAATTTATTAAACAGGCTAGACCTAGACCAGGCTTGGTAGGTAGTTGTCGCGGTAACATTATAGTCCTAGTAACAGTTTATTTTTGATGGAGAATTCTGGACGATTCGCTGTTCTAACCCAACCTGCCCCACCGCTCCCACCGTCGCTCCCGCTGCCGCCGCAGTCGCCAACACCCCTGCGACTGCTGCTGTCGCCGCTGCCGTCAGAGAGGAGGTCGTGATGGATACCCAATAATGGCTCCATTACGCCTCCTCCAGGCGAACATCAACCACTGCGTCGCTGCTCAGGATCTCCTGCTCCAGAGCATGGCGCAGTGGTCGATCAATGTTGCTGTGGTCTCCGAGCCGTACTTCGTTCCAGCCAGGGAACACTGGGTGTCAGACCTGGACGGCTCGGTGACCATCATCTCGTCGGCCGCCGCCGGTACCCCAACCCCCGAAGGGCCTCAGCGAGGCAGGGGTTGCGTCGCGGCTCGGTTCGGAGAGATCGCCGTGGTGGGCGTGTACTTCTCTCCGAACCGAACTCTCGTCGAGTTCCACAACTCCCTCAGGGAGTTAGTCACCGTCGTCGTCGGGTTCCGTCCCCTCCCCGTGTTGGTCCTCGGGGACTTCAATGCCAAGAATTTGGCTTGGGGTTCCCGGCTCACTGATGTCCGGGGAAGGATGGTCGAAGACTGGGCTCTGGAGACAGGCCTAGTCGTGCTGAACCGGGGTTCTGTCCCCACGTGCGTACGGATGCGGGGCGAGTCAGTGGTGGACATTTCGTTTGCCAGCCCCGCTCTGTCATCGCGCGTTGTTGACTGGCGCGTCATGGAGGAGGTGGAGACGTTTTCGGACCACCGGTATATACGGTTCGACGTCTCCGCCGAGTCCGCAGACCCGCCAGTCAGACAGGCCCCGTGTGGCCCGCGTTGGGCGCTTAGGCAACTGGACCGGGAGCTTTTCCTGGAAGCCGCAGTCGTGCAGGCCTGGGTGATACCACCGGTCAGGCCAGCCGACATTAACGAGGAGGCGAGATGGCTCCAGGACGCCATGTCAAGGATGTGCGACGTGGCGATGCCCCGGATCCGACCGTGCCAACGCAAGCGCCAGGTGTATTGGTGGTCGCAGGAATTGGCAGACCTGCGCGGTGAGTGCACCGCAGCGCGACGCCGATACACCAGGCACCGCAGGCTCCGTCTCCGCCCTCTGGACGCTGAAACCAGAGAGGCGGAGCTATACGAGGAGTACAGGGCGGCGAAGGCCACCCTCAGGGTGGAGATCCGGCGGGCCAAAGATCGGGCCCGCGAGGAGATGTTGGAGACTCTGAACAGAGACCCGTGGGGACGCCCCTACCGGATGGTGCGTGATAAGCTCCGCACCTGGGCGCCCCCACTGACTCAGAGTCTCCGGCCGGAGGTCGTGGACGAAGTGGTTGGGGCGCTATTCCCCCGACCACAGACGGGTTACACGCCTCCGGCTATGCCCCCGCCCCCTGCGGTGCCCAATGCGGGCTACATCGACGACGAAGACGAATCCGCTCCGGAAGTGACCGAGGTAGATTTGAGAGTGGCGGTGCGCCGGCTGAGCGGCAAGAATACCGCCCCAGGACCTGACGGGCTGCATGCCAAGGTCTGGGTCCTGGCGTCGGAGGCTCTCAGGCCTCGACTACTTGGTCTGTTCAGCGCATGTTTGGAGAGAGGCCAGTTTCCGCTGTCGTGGAAGACGGGTAAACTGGTCCTCGTGAAGAAGCCGGGGCGTCCTGCGGACTCCCCGTCCGCGTACCGGCCCATTGTGCTGCTCGACGAGGTGGGAAAGCTGTTCGAGAGGATAATCTCAGACCGCCTCGTCGGGCACCTGTCTGGAAGGGGGCCGGATTTAGCGGACGGCCAGTTCGGCTTCCGAAGAGGGCGCTCCACGGTGGACGCCATCATGCGCGTGAGGGACCTCACGACGGGGACAGCGTTGGCCGGGAGGCGAGTCGTCGTGGCGGTGTCTCTGGACATCGCCAACGCCTTTAACTCGCTCCCCTGGAGCTGCATTTTGGAGGCACTCCGGTATCACCGGGTGCCTGCCTATCTCCGTCGTGTAGTCGAGGCTTACTTGACGGACAGATGCGTCATCTACCCCGGTCACCGGGGCGTGTGGAATCGGCGAGAGGTGTCGCGCGGTGTCCCACAGGGATCGGTCCTGGGACCTCTCCTGTGGAACATCGGGTACGATTGGGTGCTACGCACCGACCTCCCGAGCGGCGTCAGCATTGTCTGCTATGCTGACGACACGCTGGTGCTGGCGAACGGGAGGTCGCATCAGGCGGCGGCCGACCTGATGTCACAAGCGGTTGCGACAGTCGTTGCAAGGATCCGGCAGTTGGGACTCGAGGTGGCGCTCCACAAATCCGAGGCCATGTGCTTCTATGGCCGTCGGAGCGCGCCACCTCCAGGTGGGTCCCAAGTAACGGCAGGAGGAGTTACCATCGGCGTCGAGTCGGCGATGAAGTACCTGGGTCTCGTCCTCGACAGCCGATGGAACTTCACGGAGCATTTTCGTCGTTTGGCCCCTAAGTTGGAACGGTCTGGGGCCGCGCTCAAGCGGCTCCTTCCCAACCTCGGGGGGCCAAACGCCTCCTGCCGGAGGTTGTATATGGGGATTGTGCGATCCATGGCCCTCTACGGTGCCCCTGTGTGGGCGCCGGACTTGAAGCGGCGGCCAGCTCGTACGCTGGTCGCGTCCCAGAGGGTCATGGCTATACGAGTAATCCGCGGGTATCGCACGATCTCCGGGGAGGCGGCGAACCTCCTTGCCGGATCACCGCCGTGGGATCTAGAAGCGAAGGCGCTCGCGCGCGTCTACAGTTTGCGCGCAGACGCGCGTCGCCGGGGCGAAGATCCTCTGCCGCGCCAAATAAGTGCGTGGCGGAATGAGCTCCGGCGAGATCTCACGGCAGAGTGGAGACAACGACTGTCGCAACCGAGGGCCGGGCACGCTACCATAGCAGCGGTAAGACCCCTCTTTGAGGAGTGGCTTGAGAGACGCCACGGCGTCCTCACCTTCCGTCTGACGCAGGTGCTTACCGGGCACGGCAGCTTCGGTAGGTTCCTGTTTCGGATTCAGCGGGAGGAAACGCCCGAGTGTCGTCATTGTGAGGACCACCTAGAGGATACGGTGGAGCATACGGTAGCGGTATGCCCTGCCTGGGCTGAGCACCGCCGTATCCTCAGGGAAGTGATTGGCGGCGGCGACCTCTCGCGCCCGGCCTTAGTCGAGGCCATGGTGCGGAGTGAGAGGAACTGGGACGCCGTCTCCTCCTTTTGTGAAGCAGTCATGCTCGCAAAGAGAGAGGCGGCCCGCGTGAGGGAGCAATCCTCCTCCTCACGCCCCAGCAGCCGCAACTGGCGACACTACGGGCGTCGGGGATCGAGGGACGATCTCCGGCCACCGTAAGTACGGGCCTGCGGTCGGCGAGTAAGGGCAGCTCGCCGCCCGACCAGAACCAGGCCCGAGCGTACGGCGCGTAGCGTTCCGCGCGCGCCTCAAAGAGCCAATAGACCACCACAGACGGGGCCCTAAAGGGCTGATGTTCAGCCGGGGTTGCGGGGTAAGCGCAATAAGGTACCGCGACCTCGGCACAGAGCAGGAGAAGGAACAGGGGGGTTTTTAGTCAGTAAGAGTCTGACACTCCCTCCTGCCCGGCCCTGGGCGGGAGAAGTCATTTGATGATTTTCCCCTCACAAAAAAAAAAAAAAACCCAACCTGCCCTACTGTTCTGGTAGCTAAATGGCTATCATTACAATAACATCACCTTTTAACTACAGCCTGAGAAATTCTGCATTTATCACCGTAAGTGAATGGCTAATTAAACTAGTAGGCGGCGACATCGATACAAACTTTTACTCCTTATAGCTTGATTAGTTTACATACATTATGATTATAGTTTTTAAACTTTACAGTGAACTGAACCTTTGTCCTTTAAAGTAAGTACGGGTGAAACAAAGGGCTCTGAATAAATGATCTCCATTGATTGACTGGCGAGGTGGCGAGGTGGCGAGGTGACGAGGTGGCGAGGTAGTCGTATTGTCCTGAGATATCGATCTAAGCTCGCCAAGGTACTTGAAACCAATTTTACATCTAACAATAGAATTCAGTTGGCCACTTGTTTCTTTTCTGGTTATTTTATTGTTCATAAAGAAGTAGGATGTAAACTATGTAGAAATGATGTATCGCGTACTTACAGTATTTCATTATACAAATATATGTATAATTCATCTCTAGATTTAGACTTAAATACTAGTTAGTGTCGGATAAACGCAGATGTGTTTTTTTTACCAGATTCATATACGAAATTCATATAAGAATGAGACTCTTTATACTTAAAAAAAACTGATTCTTTACAAACAACTTTACAAAATAAAATTTAAAAAAATAATCAAACTACCTAAAAGTATGTTATATGAATGGGTCAACCAGAAAGTGTTTGAGCCAAGCTTCGGCACGAATAGGACTGCTAGACGGGAGCGATACCACGGCCTCATACAAATTACAAAACCGGAAATTTTCTCCATTGGACAAAGTGACTTTATTAATATCCGTGTTCGTTGAAAAAACCGATTGATGTGCAACGTATCTCTAATTTGATGTTAATATTGATTTGATATGTAATGAAAGGCAAACATTTAAAACATCTAACAATGATTATGAAGAACTTACAAAATTCATCTAATCCATAAATTGTATCATGACTACCTATTATTCCTTTTATTATTTCAGATTCAATAGTAAGGTTAATGATACAAATGATAGCGTATTAATGGGAATTGTATAGCAGTTACATAACACTGTAGATACGGAGTATAATTTAGAGGCAGCCGGGTGGTCTGCTCGACCGTGGTAATTGCAGACTCAACATCCGCAGCCTCTAGTGCTGTACAAGCAAACGACATATTGTTCAACTAATTCAAACCATTAAAGAGTATAGATTCCAAAATGCTAAGACAACGGAGGACGTATAAAGTCTCCATGCACCACCGCTAGTATGAAGCGATAATACGGTACTAAAATAATCCTGTATCAATAGATAAAACCTTATGATCTACAATAATTTTCCGACTTATCTACTAAACAACACCTACGCACCTACTCGATAGGATACACTGACCACCAATTAACATAAGCTGATCATCATAAAAAATCTAAAACGATAACGATTTATAGTCAAAGAATTCGATAAGAAGTCTTTAAATTCAGATCTTGTATGGTTCTGGGAGCATTCACGCAAACATGTCTTGGAAACAGACTGTGATCGTTGCGGTCATTGCTGCGACTGTCGTGGGAGCCCTAGTGGGGGTGATAGTATGGGCCGTCATGAGGGATACCTCGGATCCACCAGAAGCACCAGAAGTACCAGAAGTACCAGAAGTACCAGAAGTACCAGAAGCACCAGAAGCACCACAACTAAGGCAACTCGATTGGTGGGAAAACACAGTAATATACCAAATTTACCCGAGGTCATTTAAAGACAGCGATGGAGATGGCATAGGCGACCTCCAAGGTAAGTCGACCATTATAATATGTGTGAACGCATTTGAACCCCCTCAAACCATAGGGTGGACAATGTCAGGATCCAGTCCAATCCTTATTAAGGCTACTTGGCTACTTCTATATTAGCATATCCGTAATATTACAATCTTGAACCGGAATTCTAGAATATTTTTCCAATGTAATAAAACCAAATTTAACCATTGAATCAAATAGATCAACATTGGTTAAGGTTGAAAATTTAAATATTACAAATCTAATATTCCATTTCATTGCATTTCTTTCAATTAAAACAAAAATTTTCCAGGCATCATTAGCGAACTGGAACATCTGGTAGATGCCGGTGTCGGTGCTCTCTGGATGTCTCCTATCTTCAAGTCCCCTATGATTGACTTTGGGTATGATATCAGCGACTTTTACGATATACAAGATGAGTACGGCACCATGGCGGACTTTGATGAGCTCGTTAGAAAAGCGCATGCACTCGGTAAGTGAAAAGTAAAACAAATAAAAATATTAGTACCTAGCTCCCTATAATATCAACAACACATACAATTTACTAAAATTCTTGCAACTGCGAGAGAATTAATAATTATAATTGCATGTTTTAGGGCTTAAAGTATTGCTGGACTACGTACCAAATCACGCCAGTACGTATTCCGAATACTTTGAAAAGTCGGAAAACAGAGTGCCAGGATTTGAAAACTACTTCGTTTGGGCTGACCCAGTCATGGTAGATGGCGAACGTCAGGTGCCCTCGAACTGGGTAAGCTGTTCGTTTTATTTAAACTACCTCAAAAACTTGCAGTCCAAGTTTCAATAATCCTATTATTTTTTAGATAAGTCAATTTGGTGGCTCTGTCTGGGAGTTTAGCGAAAAACGCCAGCAATACTACCTCCATCAGTTTGCAATTGAACAAGCTGACTTTAACTTCCGGGAGCAGGCGGTCAAAGACGAAATGATTAATATCATGTTATTCTGGATAGAAAAAGGAGCTGACGGCTTTAGGGTTGACGCCATCCCTCACTTGTTTGAAACAGCTCCCGATGCTAATGGAGTCTACCCAGATGAACCGCTTTCCGGTAATATGTTCTTGAGCCCTGACCAGGCTGGATACACCACGCAGATCCACGTGAGGGATCTCATAGAATTATACGATGTTGTATACGATTGGAGAGAAGCAGTTGACAAATGGGCACAAAACAATGGTTCCGACACTAAGTAAGTATGGTTTAAATGGATATTATGGTTTTTGAAAAAATAAATATAAGAAACACATGTGAAATACTACATACATTTATGTTTGTTCTTCTTAGAGTGCTCCTAGCAGAAGCGTATGCTAACATTAGCATGACTATGCTTTACTATGGAGACGAGAAAGGAAGAGTCGGTGCTCATTTCCCGTTCAACTTTGACTTTATCACAGCCTTGTCTGCGGAATCGAATGCCAGAGATTTTGCTTACGTCATCAGGCACTGGCTCACCTACATGCCAAAAGGAAATGTGCCCAACTGGGTGGTAAGCTAAATCTCCGTTAACTTTTTATTAAATAAAGAAACTATCCAAAGATTGTTGTTTGTACCGTGAAACATATTTTTATTTTAGTTCGGCAACCACGACCAGAGCCGCATGCCATCCAGATTCAGAAGTAACATGGTGGATGGATTGAACGGGCTGAACATGTTACTCCCAGGAGTAGCCATCACCTATCAGGGCGAGGAAATCGGTATGAGGGACGGCTTTGTGAGCTGGGAAGATACTGTTGACGTAGCAGCCCTTAACCAAGGCAACGAAAGTAATTACTTGGAGTTCTCCAGGGATCCTTGCAGGACACCTTACCACTGGAATAACTCTACTAATGCTGGATTTTCAACTGGTCTAAAGACTTGGCTGCCTGTGGCGAAAGATTACATGGAAATAAATCTCCAGGCGCAGAAAGATGCGTCTGTTAGTCATTATAAGGTGAGATAATAAGTGTAATACCAAAGTATTAAATCTAATATAATAAGTAAAATATAAGTTTGATATTTTAAACCTATTTTGCTTTCAAGGTATACCAACAACTGACAAGACTTCGTCAGGAGAAAGCCCTGTCGCACGGTGCATATGACGTGCAGGCTCTTAGCATGAACACGCTGCTTTTGGTGCGGTACCTGAGGACATACGACACTTACGCCTTGCTGTTCAACGTGGGCTCTGTCAGCGACACCGTCAGCCTCAACCACATAGAGCTGCTGTCCGAGCCCCTCACAGTGTACGCCGCAAGTGTACACAGTACCAGAACTCCAGGGTAAGTAGCAAGGACCCATACATTATTAAGTACTAAACATTTTTGCTATAGGCTTTGTCTGTACTGTTATATTAATAATCTGATAATTCTGTTAGGTAAGGTTAGGTTTTAATGACTGGCAGCTAATACTATTTATATATAATCCTCTGTTGTTCACGAGTCACTCTGATTACTGGCCCACACAAATTCAAATAAGGCAATTAAGCGTTATTATCAAAGTCTAGAATATTTAGGCAATAAGATAGGACCTCGGGGCTAGATAACAAATGGGTATAAAGACCAATGTTAATACATACCTACTCATTGTTGTGCTGATTACATGTTATCTTTAGTAAAGGATAATAAAACAGATAGGTAAAGGATAATTGGTCACTTGCCAATGTTTATCGATGTATTTAATTATGTAATCGAATATCTCCCTTGGCAACAAACATAAGAAACAGGGTTCGATATCTTCTAGACTCTATAATTCTAATTGGACGGCTTAGACTTCAAATTTTTGGTTTGAAATATTAATTAACTCGCGCGCGGTTTCACCCGCTGCTCGGCTCCATTTAATCATAGCGTGATGTTTTATAGCACTCTGGAATATTGCAGCTATCTATCGGTGAAAGAATTTTGAAAATCCGACCAGCGGTTCCAAAGATTACCCCCTACATACAAACTTACAAATTTTACCTCTTTATAATATTAGTATAATTGCATTTTTTAAAGTTAAAACTTAAAAAAATGCAAAATAACGTAATATCCTAAAACAATATGTTGAATTTGAATTTTCATTTATATATATTTTTTTTTTATTCACAGGACAACGGTAGCCTTGAGCAGCATCACTCTGCAGCCTGGTGAAGCGCTGGTACTGCGAGCTCCACCTACGTGATCCTAATTCGTAATTTCATATTCAAAATTTAAAATTAAGAAATTTATAATTTTATGATTTTGTAATAAAGTTGAAAATCTATTGTAGGTAGATTTATATGCTTTCTATTTCTATTGTTACGTTGTATGCATTAGTTTTCTATTTGTACGTACGTGTATATATCGTATTATTAAACTAATTTATGGAAATAAAAATAAAGATTGCGTCGCTATTAGCTAATCGTTTAATTTGACACAATGCCCTGTTTACTAAACATATTGTTTGAGTATTTTAAGCGAAGTGCTGTGACTTGGTGAATCGTACATATCGATTATCTTGCTAATACGGCTGATGGTATCGATAAACAATAAAAGATAAGTATGTATATTAAGCCGATATATTTAGCCTATCGTTTATGATATAATTATTATACCTAACCCTATCATTTCCTTTATGCATGCATTGCAGTTGATATGGGCAATTACTTAATTTGCCGATGTATTAAGTGTCCACGTATCTAAATATTACTGCAATACTTTTTCTGGCGATGCTATCTCGTATAATCTCATATATGATAATTATGTACCATTAAAGAAATCCGCAGTAATAAAAACTTAAACCCTTTCAATCAGCTCTCGGTTTGTATCGACCCCATCACTTCTCGCCGTATTAAATGAAGTAATCCCCTTAAAACCCGAACACTTCTGAACCTCTCAACTTGAAATCGACACAAATCAATACATAACATAAATAATTCTCTTGACACCTGCGAACTTGAAGTCCATTAATCCATCAAAACTGAACTTGGTGGAAACTTTGTAGAACCTTGTACATAAATAATAGGTATCGATGCTTGCCCCATCACTAGAGACTACAAGGGCGATGGTGATGCTGGTTGGTGCTGAGTTTATTCGCGTCCAAGATGTTCTGGGTGTTTGTCGTGTGTGTGGTGGGCAGGGCCGCAGGGTCCATGGCCCCCCAGCAGTGGTGGGACAGCGCTGTGTACTACAGGTTGTTGGTGGATAGTTTCAGAGACAGCGACGGAGACGGTCTGGGAGACCTAAAAGGTGAGCTTGTTGACACTAAAGATAATTCGCCTCACGGGGAGCAGACAAAAAAAGGTTATGAAAAAATAATTATTTGTGGTATTAAAATTTGAACTATTCCAGAATTGTTCGTAATATAGAATATTAAACTAGAGGATAGGCTATTTCTTTTTCATAAATGGGAGAGCTTAGTATGTTTTAAACTACGTAACTAACTTCTTGGTAGATCAACTATACACCTGGATTAACTTGGAACAGAAATTTCCAGAAACTTCGTTCAGCCGAAGTCGAGATGAACGATCTAGTGATCTAAGTTGAGTTGATATCTACATATATATAGTATTTGATAAATGCAATAAGACGCCTGATAAATAAAACTCACTAATACCCGCCGTAGATCAATTCCAATTACTTTTTTTGTAGGAGCAGTGAAACAAATTAGCTACGTGCGTGCCTTGGGTGCTGATGCGGTAATACTATCTCCAATCTCAGCCAAGAGTACAGACTGCAGCAGACCAGGTGTCATCGACTTTAGTGACATAGACCCAAGATATGGAACTCCTGCAGATTTCTCTAATCTAGTCGAGAAGCTTAAAAAACTAGGTAAACTTAAGTTGTTTAGTTTTTCGAAACAACTTGTTGAAGAACAAATTTAAACTTTATACTGTATGGCACAGACCTAAAGCTCGTGATCACACTGCCACTTCAAACGGTCAGCATGGCTTCTGATTGGTTCACGTCGAGTGCTGATCGAATCGCGGGGTATGAGCACAGGATCATGTGGAAGGATGGAACTATTGACTCCCCCCCACCAGTAAGTAATCTAAACATACAATAGTGCAATGCAATCTCCATATACCACTTATCAGAAGTCTTTATCCGATAGCATGTTCATAATTGAAGAGTTTTATAAAAAGCGTTTTCGTTTCTTAAGACGAAACGAACAACGGACATGTTTTTACCAAGTAAGTAACATACAAGACATTATCCTTTGAAGAGTAAAACGGTGTAGGTATTCTTCTTAGCAAAAAATGGCTTCTCATCAAATTGCAACTAACTGAGATTAGTTATTATCCCGTCGGCTACAATTAGGGAAACGCACCCAGCATCACGTAACAGATTACAGTAACATTTTCCTGTCAGCGAACAACAAGCAATCAGTCAGACAAGCGGTCATTATGCCAGCATTCGTATCCATTAATTACCACTGTTATTGTTAGGCCCGTGATCAACCATTTTGAAATATTGTGACCTTTGTATAGGAAACCAATAATTAGATTTGTTTTGTTATATAAACAGAGTGATACAGTATTTGTATTTAGAGTCAAAGTCAAAGTCAAAATCATTTATTTTAATAACACTCGTACAGGTACTTTAGAACGCCACCTTTAAGACAGTTGTCTGACAATAAGTGCTCTTATTACAGCTATTTGCTCGTTCCAAAGTGTAAATTCCGATTCAGAAGAACGAGCAATAAACTCCATGATTTATCAATTAATTTTTCAATTAATTGCACAAAAAAATTCGTAGAATACCAACCAAAAAAGTTTAATTTAGGTCCTTCCTGGGTTAGTATGATACAAAAGATGTTTAGGTATCTCAACTAGTATCATCAAAATCATTGCATCTACAGGTGGAAAATGGTGTTAAGTCTTGGACCTGGCACGCCACTCGCTACGCATATTTCGGCAACGCCAACAACGAAGCTGTCTTGAACTTATGCTGTGAAAATGTGGCAGCAGCATTATCTGCTGCGCAGTGCAATTGGCTTAAGCGAGGTGTGTCAGGAATACTCCTCAATCCTGACTTCCCCAGAGACACGGCTTGTGGGGAACAGCTGCTGAAAAAACTGGTGGCCGACGCTATGAGTTGCACCCGTAGTAGTGGCTTGGAGACGCCGTAAGATTACTTTTTAAAATTAAACCTTTCTAATTTGACCGTTTCGCCGAGTTTCCAATTTCAAACGAATGAAAAACAAAGTTTCTTTACTCTATTAGAATAATTAACGTGTAAGCTTGAAAAGAATTCTACTTTTAACGGAAAATTTTCTTAACGAAATTTTCCGTCGATTACGGAATTTAATTAAGTTCTTTAACAAAAACTATATTGTAATCGAGCAGACGTGTAACCTGTTACGTATCATAGTATATCCTCGTCTTAATGATTACCATAATAATATTGGCAAACTTTACAGGGTTATCCTCGTAGAGTCATCTCTGAGACCAGAACAAGCCGCTATGTACTATGGGGATGGGGGAGTGGGAGCCAACAGCATCATTAGCAAAGCCCTAACCACTCCTACAAGATCCACCTCCGAGATGGTGATTGGCATCCAAGCATCTTTGCTCACTACACCTTTAGATGTCCTTCCTACTTGGGCCGTAAGTTTTCCAAAGGAATTAACATTTTAGAACTTTTGGGATGTTATAAAATAATTTCAGTATTGGATTATTTAGGTATACTCAGTATTAATAGCAGGAAAGCTTTATCGTTGATCTCATATCCAACCAAGAATTGCCTAAAAATAGACCATAGCAGCTCAAAATTGTTGTATTTGCGTCATACTTTAATTAAGAGCAATTAACTATTGAACTATTTTTGATATCATGTGTAATATCGGCACAATAGACATTTTAATTTCTTTTACCTACTTGTAAATTTTGCCTGTAAAGTGACGTAACGCAATTAATGGCGACCGTGTATTACAGAAGGTCTCTAAAGAAGTGTAGACCATCCGGTGTGTTCCCTAGCGAGTCTCTACACGATGTTTTACGCCCGACTTTGACCGCGGTTAAGTCTTTGATAGTTGTTTATTGCCCTCGGGACGCAGCATATTATTTGCGTCGAACAATATTCTGTGAAAGTTGTAGGTTGACATTTAGTAACTATTTTCAATATTATAATGAGCACGCGAATAGTTACTGCCATTATGTATAAGAATTCCTATTTGATGTTTAGCAGCTAGAAGTTATAGTGTAAAACCAACTTTTCTGTGGCTTCAATTTGTGGGCAGAGTCTAATAAACTCTTTTTATTTCTCTTTTTCAGACAAGTAACTCCAACGCCAGTCGTACGGCTTCACGCTATGGCAGCGACATGGTTGACGCCGTGAACCTCTTAGCCCTAAACTTGCCAGGCTCAGCTATCATCCAGCAAGGAGACGAACTAGCGGCGGCAGACACTATCTTAGAATGGGTGACTGGCAGTACTTGCTGGCCTAACCAACCAGCACCATGGGCAGCCCCCTTTCCATGGGATGATAGTCATTCCTCAGGTTTTACCAAAGGAGGTGAACCGTGGTTGCCGTTAGCCCCCAACTTTAGATATGCAAACGCTAAGACGGAGTTCGCAAACGATTACAGTCATGTCGGTGTAATGAGGATCGCTGCTGCGCTCAGAAAGTCGCCGGCTTTTGGGCCACATGTAGAGGTAATTATGTATTATTCTATTATGTATTCAACCACATAATAACATCATCAATGGTATTCATATGATAAAACCTCAAATAAAAATACCAACCAAAGTTTATCTGTAATAGAACCGACGCTCACGCAATAAAACTGACTGGATGCGGGTGAATTCTTCACACCACTAGTCCTGATTCGCGTATAATGCGTGTGCAACTCACAATAATCCATTTCCCCAATTGGCCGACGGGAGATAAGCAGCTATTATGCCGTATATATGTCTCCATCGTTCGGGAATGATATCCTTTTCATGGGGTGATAGAAAGACGTGGAGCGTAACCGAGCTAAATTCATTAGAAATATCCGCCTCATGTTCCGGATATGACAGTATTACTTTTAAAACGATTCTTGAGGATAATGCCTCCTGTGGAGACGAAGGAATTTGTTTACTTCAATCGTATAAGTGCTATTTGGTAGTATGGTAGAAATCTGTAGTTCATCATGATGAAAAACCCTCAAACAAATATTATAATTGAGTATCAGATTAAAGGTTTTTAATTATGAATGTTACGAAAAGTTTAAGAGCAGTGACCATATTATGACCAAAGAGCTCCTGTTTTTAAATTAAACTTTAAAAACAGGAGTTCGAATAAATTGAGATCTGTTATACAAGAGCATTAATTAGCTTTGTAATAAAAGGGGCAGGGTCGAACCCTTGCTTTGAGGTGTATACGCAGACTTAAAAAATGTCAATCAAAGTAATTAATTCCCTTTAATGTTTGAAAATTTTCAGATAAAACGACAAAATGGAGCCATTGTGATCTTGAGGTGGGGAGCCTCTGGGTCTCTGCTGCTTATCTCAAACCTAGCAACCGAGCCCACTCAGGTGGAACCTTCCAGAATTCCCGGAATACCACCGGAGATGACGATTGCCTGTAGTTCAGCAGGGTCGAGCTTCGCCGTCGCTACTCATTGGATGATGGATAAAACCATGAGACTAGGTCCTGGACAGACGATACTTCTGGCTGGAGGCCCGAGACACTGCGGGGGCCCTGGACCAGTTGAAAAGATCACCAGCAAGTTACAAGAAGGTTGGCAGAAAGTCAACAAGTACTTTAGCACCTAATGATTCTGAATCACAAGGAATACCATCTTCTGTTTGAGAAATTGGTTGAGATGACTTTAGAGATGTTTCTATGATTATATATTAATGTTAAATTTGTAATTAATGTTGTTATAGTGTTCTGTTTAGTTCCAACATTTGTTATTATAATTATCTGAACTGACAGTAACCTATTAACGTTAGGTTATCCATATCATCCAATGTTATGTTCATTTTTAACTTTATATTTAAAAGGTACCCGCAACAAGTGGCTTATCATTTGCTCATTCTGGAACTGTTTTGAAGTAATGCGTCTCTGAATAAAAATATCAGTTGGAATTAAGTATCTAGTGAGATAAGAAATGCCATGTAAAAGATGGAGTAATATACTTGAGCGTCAACAGAGCTCGAATTGGACCCCGTGTGTATCGGTGCTAACGCAACCGATAATTTGTCAACAAAACGAGGCTCAAATTAAAATCAATAAAAGCGACATCCAAACACAAAACCTCAACACGAACAATATCAAACAGATTACACATTTATGAAGTATAATTTAGACGTAACGACACGTCGCCGAAACGACCTAATATCGTTAAGGATACGTACGATATAAAGAAAGTCGTACGCCCAAACTAGGGGTAATGAATCGTCTAGTATATTAGACGCACACTGCGAACGGACGAGGACGACGCGCGCCGCTTTTACATTTCAGGGGCTATTGTCTTGGTGACCTATTTCCGGACAATATAAGAGAAATGTAATTTTACATAACTAACCTGGACGCTATTTGCAAATGGAAGGCTTCACTACACTTAATCAAGTAATGGTTTTCTATGTTTTGGACGTCGCATGCACTTTCGGCGTTAGCAACACTGTTTGGTGAGTTGCCGCGAAATTTTCACTAACCTGTACCAAACTTTTATTAGGCTTAATGTTGGCACATAGAACAACGTTTACACGCGCAACAAATTACAGACTATACAGCTGCACATGAAACTGTACAAGACACATACAAAACTAGCGCCAACCGACTAAACCTATAGTGCCGAGCTGGGAAAATACAAAAATACTATTCAGAAAACATTCAAGAGTTGATTGTAGCTTATAACAGTAAGACTTACAGAATTTGCTCTTCTCGGCATGGCTGTAGGTAGCATAAACCACGAGGAGGAAAAGTAGCGCGCGCGCCCTCATGGCGGGGCGGCGCGGGCTCTTGGTGGCCCGGCGCGGCGCGGACTGAACGCGGACCCCTATCGACCCAGCGTGCGCACCGCGCATGCGCCACCCCCGCTCCCGAGAGCCCCGCCCCGCACGCTTACCACCTAGGGTTGCTGGACGAAAAAATTTTGGAACCCAAAGAATATTCTTGGGGTAGCAATGCAATTCCGAATTTGTGCTCAGCAATCAAGTTTACCTTTTCAGGATAATTCTTTGTATTTTAATATCCTTTAGGTACCTATAAGTTGACGATAAGCAAACAAAAATCCAGGTCTATCTATCATAACACCAAAGTTCTTGCAATAATCGATATTTTTGCTCAAAATCCGAAAGGACTTCACATCACATGTTCTAAATTCCAAAATTGCCGTCGAAGACTAAAAAACCAGGAACCACCCCATCGATCTCACCCCTAATCCCTTAATCTGAAGTATCATGTGCATCCCATATCATGTATATTTTTTTCCTCAAAGGTCCGGCTTTTGGCAAAAACAATGCGAAGTCCCAAACAACCCCTGTCGGGGCTGGAGCTGGCAGCCCTGTCGTGCTCAGGCATCGTACGGGCGTCCCGCGGGCTCGCGCGCCCTATGACTCACAGAGTGAATGAACGAACGGACCGGCGAGCGAGCGGCCTCGACCAATCAATGCTGCATTACTACTCTATTTACTAACACTCACACGGCTTTTGGGCATTAACAGCTCGTAACATTTGTAATAGTTGGAGGAACAACGGAAATATGGCGGTGAAGTCGCCTCGCCGATTTATTTATGACCCGTCTCTAAGATTGCCTCTGTCCGTGGACCCGTGTCTGTAACTTTAGGCAAACCGTATAATCTGATCTGAATTAAGTTATGGTGTCCATTAAAAGATTTTTAAAGGCAGATTTTATGTTGTAATATGAAGTACCTATGAGAATATCTCGTATTTTATCTTTGGCGCCCAAATTTAAATCAACCGAGGACCTGATTATTTCGCGTAGTGGCAATACTGGCACAGGTGAGAAACTAACTCTTGACGAGCCGAGACCAATTTGCTTTTGACTTTAAAACCATTTATGAATACAAATACCATTCCACACTGTTTATATAGAACAAGATATTAAGGACTCAATGACTATTTATCCACAAATTACTAAACATTACATGAAGTCGGTTAAAATAGTTAGATACTCACGGTATCACAGAACCTCCAAATTAAAATTGTGTAACACAATACGCCTGCCAGTGTTCTAATAGCAATATGTTGTTGAAAGTTTAAGTTCTTGTTTCAAAGTGCGCGCCGGAACATAATCCCCCTATCGAATATCAAGACATTTAGGGTTCAACACGATGTTTTGTTTAACTGAAACAATACGAAACTTTTCATCACATCCCTTTGAAGGCAAAGGAACTATGTTGATATTTGATTATATATATTATATTATATATTATATAATATATATAATCATTTGATTATTATCATTTGATTATATAATCATTGATATTTGATTATATATATTATATTATATATATATTATATATATGTTGATTATATATATATATATATATCTGTATATTATAGTATGTATGTTTCAATATATCCATACTTAACATGTATTATTTATTGTATTCGTTAACTTATTTTATGCATATCTATTTATTTATGTGTAAAGAATCGTGTTTGTTTCTTCCTTTTTCTTTCCCCTTTCATCCTGTTCTAGGACTCTGTGTCCTTGCTTCGCACCAACCGCAAGAATCTGCACTGCCCTATGGTTGACTGTTAGAGAATGCCTTAAGGCATTAAGTCCGCCATTCACACTGTTTTGTATGAAGAAGAAATAAATAAAATAATAAAATAAATATTTTTGACGCTTTGAAAACTAAAATTTTTACCGAAAATCACAAAAAAAAATGTTCGGAACTTGTGCTAAGTATTTTTAAAGCGAGAAATTCATACTTATTGTTCTGAGTCTTGAAATAAAAACGAAAATAGAAATCAACAAAATAATTATACAATAGCTTATCAGTACACAACAATGCTTTGAAGGCGACATACAGACGGCTCACAAACACCACATTGGGTAGAAATCTTCAAAAATAAAAAATACGAGCACTTGTATAGATAAGGGGGTCGGAACCCCCTAAAGTTGGTATTAGTCTCGAACCAGCGAGTGTCAGGTCCTCAGACCAACGCCGACTTGTCAAGTTGACGGTAGAAGGGTACCCTTGCTGACTAGCCCCTCCCTCCCCCTCACACCGACACTCCTCACGAGGGCCACTCGACTCAAGAGCCCTCCACACAAAGGTATCTTTTTGACAAGTTTTGAGTATATGGAATCATGAAACCGTGTCAAGATTAGCTTCCAAGCAATATTACAAACGGCATGCTCCTTCTAACGGTTCGGATCCTCAATACCTCCTTATTTCTCAATTTTTCCCATATTCTAAATCCCTCTTGATCTAAATGCTAAACGTGCGTATGTATGAGTATGTGGTAATTTATTGTCTGTCGATCGAAAATTCAATATCAATTCGAAATAAAACACTTGTGTTGTACATTTACGGTCTTACTAATAAAGTTCGGTTACACACTTGTTTGACACTTTGATAGCTATTCATTGAATAGGGAGTTAGTAATACTTTATACAAGTCATTACCAATAAACAATGGTTATACCTTGAATAACTATTTATTCCTTATACTGCTGATTGCTAGCAACATTGATGAAAGCGTTCCGAAACTTCCGAACAGAAACACTTCTTGACAATATTCTTGTATTATTATAATTATTTAATTATAATAATCAATAAAATACTTGATTTTGTAAAACAAAAAGAAGGTTTTAGGTTTTTAATTTAGTTTTAAAATATTAATTTATCAATTCTTTGCGAAACATTTTTGATAAAAATGTTGATATTTCGAATGTACCTAATCAATGTCAAATACATTTTTGACACAAATTAGAGTCGTGGCATTAGAATTATACTTCGATAACCCAATTAGGTACTGAAAATATTCGTAACAGCTTTTAATAATAGGTGTTATACCTATTACTGAATATCAAGCTAATATTAGGGCAGCTGATCTTATATTCCTTTACCTATAATTGATGTGAAATAATGTTATAAGTATTAAGATACATTATCTCCACGTCAAACAATTTTAAAACTTCACAATCTCCTTCAAAATTTCTGTTTATATCGCCATCATACCCCATTTTCTGGTTAGTCAACTGCCAATCAGCTGGTTCTGACCAGTAGACATGTGAAATTAAATTAGTTTATCCTAATATATCAATGAACGAACAAATAAATAAGTATTACAAATATTGTATTCGTAATACGTATCTGTATCTATTACAGATATTTCGTCACACTTCTATGCCACGTATTAATTTTTATCCTATGCTTGATGCTTGATGTTGTGAATATAAATATCATCATCATCATCAGCCTATAAGTGCTCACTGCTGAGCAAAGGCCTCTTTTAATACTGAGAAGGTTTGAGCATTAATCACTACGCTTGCTCAATGCGGGTTGGCGATTACAAACTTACAATTGAATGAATACTCAGAATGAATATAAATATCTTCTAGTAAAAATAGAAAAGATTATGTTTATTTGGAATTAGTAGGATGCGATTGTTGTTTTGCCTTTTTAGGAATAACAACCTGGTTGTACCGACAAAAATAAAAATACTGACACTGGATGTTTGATTTTATTAAATATGCCTTATTCAAGCAATCACATTTCTAAAGTAACAAATTCTGCGATATGCGACACGACTTGCCAATACGATAGATACTCTGCGACACACATTTGTGATAGATTACTGACTCGTTCCATGAATATCAGCTGCATCGGCTTGATCTTTTGT